TGCGGCAGTGCTAGCAGTGGGGGTGGAATGCTAAGCTTAAAGCAGAGCAAGGTGGAGATGCTGGGCCCAGAAGACTAAGTACTGTGGCTCTACGGTCTTTGTGGGAGAGCAGTTTGCAGGCCTGTGTCCAACACGGGCACGTGTGAGTAGTCAGTGGATTATGAGAACTCTGTAGAGGTGGAGGTCTCCGAGCACTGGACCACCTGCCGCCAGGTAGAAGGTGCTCTTAGCACTTGGACCTGGGATGACACTGGGACCATGAAATAACCATGGATGAAGAATAAGATGATGCTATTAAAATAGATGAAAAGGGTATTTAAAGCCCAGTCAGTGTAGCTCAGAGGTTGAGCATAGACCTATGATCCAGGAGATCGCGGTTCAATTCCCGGTCAGGGCACATGCCCGGGTTGTGGGCTCCATCCCCAGTAGGGAGCATGCAGGAGGCAGCCCATCAATGACTCTCTCATCACTAATGTTTCTCTCTCTCCCTCTCAGCTTCTTCTCTCTGAAATCATTAAAGATATATTTAAAAAAGAAAAAGGTACTTAAAGAGAGTGGAATGGCAGGAGGGAGGGGGGGAGAGAGAGAGAGAGAGAGAGAGAAACATCCATGTGAGAAAGATACATTCATCGGCTGCTTCCCACGGCGCCCAACTGGGGCCAGGGGTATGTGCCCTTGTCTGGGAATCGAGCCTGTGACCCTTCGGTGCACAGGCCAATGCTCTACCCACTGAGCCACACCAACCAGGGCAAGATAGCCTTTTGAAAGCATAATTCTCTGGCCATGTTACTAATCCTTCTCATTCCCACCTCCATGCCATAGAAATAAACAGCAACAATCAAATCTCACATTGTCTAAACTATGTCAAACTGCTTCTCACCAGCCATCCACAAGCCTCCTCAAGAGGGCAGTTCCAGGGTGATTTTCTATCAGTCTCTCCCAGTAAGAGGTCCAGCTAAAGCAAACTGCTGACCATTGTTCTAATGAGATCTGTTCCCCTTTGGCCTTGGGACTATGCCATGTTGCTTCCCTTCTCCTGTTTTTCAAAGCTCCAATCCAGCCAGTCTTTCAGGGCCTGGGCCCCATGCACACTTTTCCCACACTGCCCAGCAAGACACAACCACTTCTGCCCCCATGTGTCTGTGGCTCCTTGTATTTGTTCTGACATTTTATCACTTTCCATTGTGGGTCTTATAATTTGTATGTATGGCTCATCTCCACTTATTAAGTACAAAGCCCCTACAGGCTCAGGGTTAGCGTCATATAACTTTGCTTTTCCCAGAAAGCCCAGCCCTGTGTTAGGGGAAATCTTTGTTAAAAAAAAAAAAAAAAGAATAAATAAGAGCCAGCAGTAGGAACCTTTGTATTTTCCTGTTCCTTGCCACTGCCTCCGAGAGAGGTAGGTGAGGTGTTGTGAGGTGTGAGGGAAGGGCGGAGTGAGGGAGCTGCCGTATTTATAGGTGACTAACGCTTTCCAAAGGAAATGAAAGATTTGCAGTCATTACTACTTTGCAAAGCTTTATTTTCCCACTTAGAGGCCAGCCCTCCAATTTTGCAATCTGAAAAATAACAGAAAGCCAGTTCCACATGTACGGCAGTCCCCATGGTCCCGGCAATTATTTTTAGGTCATTGTGATGTGATTTCTGCGGTGAAATGCACTCCTGGCTCAGAGTCCTTGCCGTTTCTCTGACTTGTGTTTGCTTCTCACGCTCTGTCTGGCCCGGGCCCATGTTCTTGACCTCATTTCTGCTATACCATTTCCCTATTTGACCATCCAAATAGGCACGCCTAGCAGCTGACCCACAGCCACTTCCCCAAAACATCTCCATGGATATCCACAGTTTGTGGAGCTTGTTGATGGCCATCTGTGGCCATGAGGGCTCACGGGCCCCCGAGCATTGCATAAGGGTGGAGATAGCAGGCAGCAGAGTCTGAGCTCCCTAAACCAGGGAATGGACAGAAGGGGGGCAGCTTCAGCCAGTGGTGCAGCGTAATGTGCCCACACACAGGTGTATTCGACTTATTCTAGGATTGATGGGGCCTGGTGGGCCAAATGCTGATTCACTGCTACATTAATGGTAAGAAGATCCAAATCCCTAACCACTGGGTCCACCCAGTCACATTTCTGCTGGTGCTTCCTTCCACTTGCTCCATTGCATCACTTTTCCATCACAAGCACAGCACTGGAAACATCATCATCATGAAAGCTTTTAGAAAGCAGGGACCATGTTAAGCATTTTTGCATACCGACCCCTCCAGCCCTCAGCAGAATATGTTTTGCACACGCAGTGAGCTGAACAAATACCTGCCACGTGAATAAAGTGGAAAGAGAAATGTGTTTGGAAATAGACCTGCATTCAAATCCCAGCTTTGATCTTTCCCTGGTCCTATGACCTTGGGCATGTCATTGAACCCACTGAGCTTCAGGTCTCCAGTGCTAGCTGATCTCTAAGTCTCCTTGTCCCACCCACCTTCTCTAGTTCTATTTGAAATTGATTGATATTGTCACCAATTGGCTAACATCAAGTCTCACAAATGCCACCAACTGGTCTCCTTGTGCTTTTCCTCGTTAATTTCCATACTTCAGCCAACATCAACTTTTTAATCATCTTTCTTACATGAGCCGCATCATTTCATTCCTCTGCTTAAATCTTGTTCCACAGAAAATCCGTCAGTTTATAAGCCCAAACTCATTGATGTGAATGCATGGTCTAGCTTTTCCCAGTCCTGCAATTCAGTCACACCCTCAGCTCCTCCAGCCCCTCACAGATGCTGATGCCTCTGCCTGAAGGCCTTTTCTCTGCCTCTTTTGACTTTTTCCTACGCATCCTTCGGGCCTGAGCTTAGACATTACTTTCTTAAGAAGCCAGCCCCGGGATCCCACAGCACCTTGTGCTTACCCCTATTACAGTCTCAGCATCCTGTCTTCCCATCGTGTGTGCACTTTCCTCTCTCAGACAGCCCCGAAAGGCAGCGTGGCACCTTGTACGTTCCTTTGTCCTTGGTAACTTAGCGCAGTGCCTGGCACTGGTGAATAATTGAATGGACATATGAGGTGCTCACACCTGACCCCCGCCTTGTGGCACCTCCTCTCACCAACCACCAAGTTCCCTGCACTCTCAGAACACACGCCCAGGCACTGACAAGCCAAGCCAAGCCCTCTGAGCACTCTTTCTCATTTTTTATGGCCACTGAAAAATACTGGTGCTCGTGGTGCTCTTGTACCTTCTTCTTGGTTTCAGAGGAAGAAGAAAACAAGGGTCAGGTTTGAGGATCAATGATCAACTTCCAAGTCCGCAGGTAGCAAAAGTTAACAGATCAAAAGTACTGTCTTATAGTTACACTTGGCAAGAAAGTTACTCCAAAAGTTACACTTGGCAAGAAAGTTAGTCCAAAAGTTGCACTTGGCTAGAAAGAATAAATAAGATTTAAAGTCCACACACACACACACACACCCCCCCCAAACAAACAAATGAAACCGGAGTATGGACATTCATGTACATAATCAACCAGCTCCTGCCCTGCTTCTCCCCAATACATACAACAGAAATACCTTTGTAGATATATGCTTTCACCTATCCCAGATCCCAGCTATTCTGTCTTTAGGGATTTATCCCTTTGGGTAAAGCCAGATTTGGCAACTACATGGCACATACCCTGCCACTCTCCATTCTCATGCTATTGACAGATATTGTTAAATGATAACACAGCTTTTTTGGTAGGTCCTCAGAATCCTTCCCAACACAGTGCTCTAGACATCAACTACCAGTAGGTCCCCAACTTAAGCTTTAGTCTCTAAAATGACCTTTGTTAAAATGCAAAGGCCCCCAGCTAGAGAACAGTGCAGATCACTGGGATCTTGGGGTAGATTTATTGAGCAAGTACTTACTTTGAGACAAGAGGAGCAGGAAAGACTTTGGGCGCTCAGGAAAAGGGTGCAGAAGGGTGAGGAGGAGCATCCTTCGTGAGAGGGAAGGAAAGGCAGGAAGGTTACCTGCTCTAAGACAAAGGCTGCATGCAGCAGGCCCTGGGAGCCCAAGCCCCTCCAGAACGTGCTCTCTTTCTGGCTGCTGCCTCTGACCGAGCACTGTACCCAGTTAAACTTTCCCACACATAGGGATTGGGATTTACCCAGATTGTCAGACATAAACACTTAGTAAGTCTAGACTAGAGAAGGAACAGCATGATTAGCTCCTGATCTGCAGGCATTATGATTGGCACGCCCTTCAGTGAAGCAACAACGTGAGTAGATAAGAAGGTTCTAGGATGGAAAGGGGTTTTCCACTCACTCGGTGGAAGACCAAGCACTTTCCCTTGATTACAGATCACTGGGCAGTATTTCTGAGAATTCATGTCACCAGGTGGTTGAACGATAAAATCTAGGCCAGCTGCTTAAATGAGCTTGCATGACTCCAGCTAGGCTGTTTTGCAGGCCCCTGGGCAACTGCCCAAATGCCCTCTAGGAGATCCGGTGCCAGATGTTGTTGCAAATAAACCCATAATGATACAGGCAACAGGAATGGACCAAACCTAGCATGCTCAACCTGTCAAATGACTTTTTAGAAGAAATATATTCAGATGCCTTGGATCATTCAGCTCTTCAAACATTTCATTGCACGTGGAACCAAAGAGCAACATTTACTTGGGGAAAGTAACATGTGTAGTAGCTTTGCAATGAATAATTCTTTGTGAAAAGGTGAGAAGGACTCGTGACCTGCCGTGTGTGTGCGCGGGCGCGTGTGCATGTGTGTGCACGTGTGTATGCATGTGTGTGCATGCGTGTGTGTGTGCATTTGCCCACCTGTGTATTCTGTTGCCTGGGATGTTTCCATGAGCATCAAAAACAAACAATAAAAATCCTTCTTACCTGAAAAGTTAAAGATGGCTAAATCCCCATTAACTCAACATAAAGGCAGTTTTACACATCACAATGCTTCTGGAATATTCCTCAGAGACTTGGATGACAAGTCTAAGTTGATTTTCTTTCTGCAGTTCTTACCTGCTAATGTAAGCAAAGCTACCGGCAGCCAGCAAGATGAGTCCTTTCTTCTTCAGAGGATAGCTGTGTGGCCTGAGGTAGACTTCAACCAGCGAGAAGGGGAATATGAACGTGTGCTGGAGGAGAAAAGATGACATCATACGGCAGGTGCGTTGGCTTCCTAGTGCTTCAAATTCTCTCTTCCCCCTCCAATCTACCTTCTTCCACAACGGCCAGGTGAAACTTCCCAAAACTGAGCTGCAACCATGCTCCTTAGATGCCCAAGGACCTACCGTGGCTCTCTCTTGCTTATACTGATCCAAACCCCTTTGTCTGGCTACCAAGGTTCTTTGTAATGCTCTGTCACGCTCTCTTGTCCTGCTTATTGCCACGGCTTCCCTCTCCTAACGCATAGGCACACACATGCATGCACACACGCACCCCCATGCTTGCACACACACTCACACATACACACCTCCAGTGTAGCAAGGCTGTCTCCAGCTTTCTCTGTACTCAGCGTGCTCGCTCCCACCTTCACACTTCCATTCGTGCCTCAACCGTATGCAGCGTGTCTCCTCTCCGTAGCCACACCGTCCATGTTCTCACAGCCAATGCAACCTTCCATGATGCGGTCTCTGAATTTTCCTCTTGCTAATTTCTCTCACCCAACCTCACTGCATTTATAACCTGTGCCGTGGATTCCAGCACTTACAATGTGTATTTGTAAGATCTTGGGGGCCAGAGAACACATCCTAGCCGGACTCTGCGTCCCCTGTTGCACTTGAGGCTGTGTAACTGTCCTGTTGATGGGAGGTCGGTGCTGTGGGGGGTGGGAGCCTCCCTCTAAAACCCTCTATGTCTCGCCCATCCCTTCTCTGTCTCACTGGCTCCTTCATAAACATCTGTCTTCTCTCACATCTTTCAAACCCTTAACACTACATTTTAAAAATAATGTAATCAAGGAAAGAGGCCTTTAGTACTAGTGGTATTTTCAGGTGGAAAGACTACAAAGGCCTGCTCCCCTCTTGGTTATGGGGACAGATCTGGGAAAGGTAGGTGATTTGACTTTATGTGCAGTGTCCTTTCATTCATTAAACACATTAAATTCGCTCTCCTGCTGTACTCTGTGCTTATGGAAACATCTAATAGTGTTAGTATTTTACAGTTTTTACATTGACCGCTGTCATTCCTCTTTCATCCCTCTGGCATCCGTAGCCTTTACCTGCAAGCTCCATACCATTCCCATTCCTGACCCCTGAGGCAGCTAAGTCAGCACCTTGGTTACAGCAGTCACTAGGGCTTAGGCATGTCACAGTGCCCACAGGACCATGCTCCCATCCCAGCTATGCTGCCGGAGCCCTGGCCACTGCTCTGGGAGGCCTTCACTGTCTGTCCCGTCATTCCTGTGCTCAAGGGCAGCCCCAGGAGGCAGTAGCTTCCACCTGCCTTACCTGACCTGGCTAAGGTACAGTCAGGAGATCAAGACCCGTAGACGACAGGAAGCGAGACAAGTGTTGATGGGGCAAAGGTGGGATGACAAGGAACAAGTCTTAAGTATAGGGTATTACTGGGCAGAGAGGGCCTCCTGGGGGCCCCCTGTCAGGGGATGCAGAGCAGTTAGGCCCTTAAAGGCCCTGGGAACCCACATTTTAATAGCACAGCCTAGAGGAACAGCATTTCGGACACACCATAGCTTTTATACACTCTAAGCTTAGTCCTGAACCTACTGAAGGGTTGGATATGCAAATAGAAAGACCTCCAGGCCCACTGTCATACCTTGCATCTTTTTTTGGGGGTCAGATTTTAGGTTACAGCTTCTGTGTCTCTACCTCCAATAAAGGAACATGGTGTTGAAAGGCACACTTTTGAACCTGTCCTTGGACTAGTTTCTGAATCTGTCTGAACTTCAGCTTCCTCGGTTGAGAAATGTGATACATAGAGCACATGTGTTAGGGGTAGAAGATTTCCAGCGAGCGTTAGCTGTGATGGTCACTTTTACTGTGATATCATTCATCTCATTGCTGACCCAGTGTGGAGTGGGTGAGACAGTGTTTGGGGATGTCCACAGTGCCCATGCTTGGATGCACCCTGACCCATAGCCTGCAGGAAGGGATGGTAGCAGAGCCCTTCCCTCAGCCACCCATGACTCCCTCCTCAGCCCACAGCTGGCCCTGGCAATGCTGTGACTGACATGGATGATCTTTTCACCCGGGGCCACCTCAGGAGGCAAGAGATGGGGCTGTCCTCCCAGCAAAGCCACTGCCTTCATTCTGCCACAGCCAGGAAAGAGCCGACTTCTATTAGCAACCATTAACAGTCCCGTTATACCGGCCATTGATCTGACAGGTTTTATGAACCCTGTCCACTGTCAGCAGCTTCCACCCTGTACGTTAATGATCATCTGGGACAGAATTCTTGTAAAACAATGTAGTGCGTTTGCATTAGGAGAAAATGAGTTCACAGTGATTCATGTTTTCACAACAAATAACTCGGGATGCATGACTGGTCACCTCTTCTAGGAGCCTGCCCTTTGCAAGTGACATTCAATTGGATTTCCAAGTGAATTCTCCCTGATGACTTCTGGGAAGCTTGCTTCAGTGATGTCATTAGTGATGGGCCATATCCTATGGCTTAACACCTACTACAAGGCCTTTAAGAGAACCACATGTTTTGGTTGGGCTGGAGGCAGGAATGAGGGAAGGAGGAAGACCTCATTCTGTGAGCTTTCTAAATATTTAGCTACTGGGAAGAACCAAGCGTGACGCAATAAAGCTCGTGGTATTTCAGATGTCCTGGAATGTCACCTCATGTTGATATAAATTATATAACCTTTGTCCGGCAGCACTTAAAAAAAAAAAATAAGGAAGAAAAAAATTCAGTAAGAGAAAACTCCAATATGCTTTCTACTTCCAAAAAATCTAATAATTAGGCTGGGATTGACACAAATTAGAATGCTGCCAAAAATTGCTGAAAACAGTGACTCATTCTGTATTTCAATTAACAGTTTCTCAGTTTCCCTTATAAACAGTGAAGCTGACAAAAATTAATTATCTCAGAGGGGGTAAAATATTTCCTTCCAAAGTAAACAAAACGCCATGGGCTGAGACAATAGTGTGTGTAAACAGAGGGGATGGAAGAAGCTATCTTTCCTTGTCAAGTAAGCCATCATTTTGGTAGATATTTTTCTTTAAATATCTCATTTTAAAAGCATCAGTTAAAAGGACAGTGTTGTTCTCCTTCCACCCTTTTCTACTAAATGATGTCTTTCCTCCTGTCCTTGGTGTAAGGCCTACTTCCATTTGGATATATTAGAGACAGAGCTGTACGCGTGAAATATTGATTCACGCATTATATAATAATTGCCATTTAGAGTCCCTGGTTGCAGAATAGCTGTGTATATAAGCACTAAAATTTACCAGCCCAAAGAAAATTCTTACAAGGTTACATGAGTGGCAACACGGAAAATAATGACCACTTACTTGGACTCACCTCATACCCGCAGATAAGTAGCTGCTGTCAACAGCCTCCCTGTGTGCGAAGCTAAACTTACAATGGGATGCATTTGCCTGGCTCTTGTGAAAGGGGCCGGGCTTAATCACCGAGATAACCCGCAAGCCGACAGCTTATCATTGTCAGGCAGACTCCCAGCGCTGGATCAATAAGGCTGGGATGGTCACACTCTTATCTCTGAGATTCTTGGGGGGGACGAGAACACTTAATTTTCTCCAGTGAGAGAAATTCAGGGAGTCTCCACATTTTAAGAATCAGATAACATTTTATAAAGGATCTCTGCCTCTTTCCTCTATTTCATTTTCTTGAACTAGCTCTTGTATTGAGTTGAGTAAGATAAACAAAACAGCTTCTACCTTCTTGGACTGGTCATTGAGACTTTCTCATTCATATGCTCTTTCTGATGAACTTACATAACATTGCCTCCTTCATGTTTGCCTCTGTCCTCTCTCTTCCCCTGTTCAGGCAACACTTGGATCTGAGAATTAATTTCTTCCATTGGCCCTTCTGAAATTGGTGTCCGTTCCCCAAGTCTCTAAGATAATGTCTTTGGTTTATGGTGCTAATAGGTAGAAAGTTTTAAATCAAGTTTTATTGCACCGAAGAGATCTCATTTCTGGGTACAGTAAGGAAGATATTTTTGCTTAGTATATATTACATAGTCACTTTTTAATTTATTTAAAAAATGAAAGCCTTCACACAATCTCAGCCAAACAATGAAAGCCAAACACATGATCAAAACATCAATTAAAACTTAAACATAAATACAACAGACATGAAAATGAAGGCAAGGCCAACCTTAATAGAATGCCATTTTCCCAGGCTTGTTATACTGTGGGTCATGTTCCTGAAGCTTGAAAACTACACACAGTACTAGCTGTTTCGTAAATCCTTGTAAGGCAGTCTCTGGTTTTGACAATACTACCCATTTTTCAGCTAAAGACTTTTACCTCACTCCTTCCCACCTTTTCTCACTGCAGTTCCTGCCTCCACCCAACTATATTCTCTATAGTTCCTGTGTTGTTAAAGGTGAAATATTGCCTTAAGCCAATCTGATATACGGTGACCCTGAAATGTAGACATAAGCTAAATTGCTTATATTTCTAGGGAAAATTTTTTTTTTTTACTCTTTCACTTACACTACATACAGGGGTCCTTTTTTGGTCTCAAATTCTAGAGTTCAGAAGGTAATTGGATGTGTAAAATTTCCCTTTCCCACTTTCTAGGAACTCAAGCCCATAGGCTTGGCACAGCTGTAATTTAAGAGACAACGTTCAATGCCTGGGGAGGAGGGATTGGGAAGATAAACCACCACAGAAAGAGCCAAGGGCTTCTCTTTGATCCCCACCATCTATGTAGGTGAGCTGACACAGCCCAGCCTGCTAAAAATTTAAAAACAGAAGCTAAAAACCAATAGTTTTACTTATTGCAGAGGAGTAGTAATGTTTGCCGTTTACTCTAAAATGCATCAAAATAAGACGAGCTGATGGATGATGGATAGACGCAAACATATGTGATAAAGCAAATGCCGTAAACTGTTCACAGTAGAACCTAAGTGGTGGGTAATACAGGTGTTCGCCGTGGCATTCTTTAAACCGTGCTTTATGTCTGAAATGTTTCATAATAA